GCTTATTGAGCAACTCATTCAATGAGATTTTTCAGTTCTTCATTCATCCAAATGGCCCAATCCAGACTCTCGAATTGATACAGTCATAGGTAATGTTCAAAACCCTTCTCTTCCTTTTTTACTTCAGAGATGTCTGAGGTTGTTATTTTTAAAGATGCCAACATATTTATAGCAGACTTATATTTCTCAAACAGAGGGGAAACATTTTAGAGCAGGAGACTGAAAATCCTAGTGAGTCCTACCTCTGCCTCTAAGTAGCTACATACACTTGACTACGTTACTTCACCTCTGTGAAGTTCAGTTTCTTCAACTGTGATTTGGAAATAAAATAACACATATCACAGGATTTTCTAAAAGCTAAATGAAGGGTACAGTGTTTGAGGATGCTTTGTAAGCTATAAAATACTTTTTATAGCTATAAAGTATGAGATAATTATAACACAAATGCTAGAACTTGGGGCTGTTTTTCTTCTATATAGCCCTTTAAAGTTTTCAAAGCAGTTGTGGCTTTATAAATTATAGGATAACCTACTCTTAATCATAACATTTGCAAAGTCTTTTTTCTTTTACATAAATATAGTAGATATTCAATAAATGTTTGGATGGAAAAGACGATGGTTAGTGGATGGAGGAGAGGGAGATGGCGTGTAAGGTAAATAAGGACATGCATGAAGTTTTAATTTTTCCTTTTTAATTTTGTTTTAAAACATATTCCTTGATATGAACTATGTTCTTGTGAATGTTGAGGGGAAGGAGTCATTAAATAAGAAGCCCTGAATTGATTCATTGACTAAGTAAGCTTGGCTTTTCTCTATTTGTTTTTTCATCGATGAAAATTTATTGAGCAGCTACCATCAGCTGAGCATTGTGCAAGTTTCAGGCAAAACACATTTGAATATGTCACTGTCTTTATGCGTGTGTGCCTATTTCTCCAGCTGCTAATATTTCGCTTTCAACTTTCTGCAGGATGCTGAATAAACTGACACTTGTACAGTCATATGAAGGGGCCCAGCAGTGTTGAGGGCTGCGCTTGTCAAAACCTCAGCCTGTGAATTGTTTCCTGATGTTCCATGTGCAGCCCATGATTCGTCTCTGGATTGTGAAATGTGTTTATTCAGGGAGGGGAAAGTTCCTCCTGCCCTTTGTTGCTTTCCCTGTTTTGGGCCGCTTTTCTCGGGATGGACCCTCCAAGCTCTGTGTGGCCAAAGGGGAAATGTGACATGTCAGCTCTCAGGTTCGAGTGGGCTCTCAGCAGGCCCCAGCTCTGTACTGCTGTGGGATCGAGTGGACATTCGGCAGAGTGGAGAGGACCTCTCTTGAGGGGAAATTGGACACGACCTCCCTCTGGCTGGTGCCGTATCCATCTTGCCCGAGGTTATCTAAGTCTGCACGGAGTGATGAGAATGGAGGATCTGGGGAGGCGTTTTTCCTACCCTCCTGTTTCCAGGAAGGACACACTTTACCTGGTATTTTAGAAGAAGCACTGTATATATTGTGTGCTTAGAATGGCTGAGAAAGGACCTATATTTGCAATCTCTTTCCCTCATTGTGAATGTGAGGGACTAATTCAAACCTTCAGGTAGTTTGTGGCAGAATTGGGGCCAAAACTCAGATTTTGTAACTCAAAACGCATTGTGCCTACTACTGTTCCACGTATATTTGCTTTATATAAGAGAATTCTAATGTTGTAAAGTGAGGGAGTATAGAAAGAATATGGGCTTTGGAGTCAGACAGAACAAGATCAAATCCTGGTCAAACCCTGCTTCTTGCATCTGTGTGGCCTTGGACTAGCTACTCTGATTTCTTTGCTTCTGCATCTGTTGAAGGGGAGAAAGAATATTTATGTTTTATGGATGTTGTAAAGATTAAATGAGATAATATTTAAAGTACTTAGCATGGTACCCAGCCTATCTTAGATATCTGATATGTGTGTTAGAAAGGAAGAAATAACATACCATCTCTTATAAGAGAGTTAAGATGATGTTGATAGTGGTGGCGACGGTGAGGAGGGTGGTGAGGGTCACGGTGGTAGTGGATATGGAGGCATCGCTACCATCAATCACTTTCATTTTTAAACACTTCCTCAATATCAGAGCAACCATATGATATTGTTTATATTCTTAATTTTATACAAAGTCTTTCTGTCTTCAATTTCTTTTTTTTCCCCTCATAACACACTAGTTCTAAGATTCTAAGCCTCAGTATATCAACAGTGAATTTGCTAACTAGGGAAGAAACAGACAAATGTTTCCCACACGTTTGTTCTTTCCCATAGTTAACCTCCTTCAGGATTGAATAATGCTGTTAAATACACTTTGCTGTGCTTATATACGTGGAATCAATAAATGTGGGTCATCATCAGAAATTCCTTGAACTTATATATGATACTGTGGACAAGCAGTACCAACTACTTTTCTATTGAGGATTTCAGGATGGATATTTGGAGATACGCACAGATAAGTAAACATCAACCACCTGGCCACTGTGTTTTTATTTTGGAGAAAAACCCAAGAACCAGCAGTTTGGAATCAGACAGCCTGGATGTGATTCCGAGCCCTGCTTCCTAAGCTATGTAACCCTGGTTAACTTAATTTCTGAGCTTCAGTTTCCTCATCTGTAGAATGACGATGATAAGAGTACCCGTCCCGTTCAGTGGTTGTAAAGATAAAATGAGACGCACAGAAAGAGAACGTGCAAAAAGAACTCAGTTCAAATGAGCTCATGTCTAGGGTTTCTTCCCATCCAGAGCCTTTGTGCCATCAGTTGGGACCTGAATCATTTAGAGTCCACCCAGAAAAACATAAATGCTCTAAGTATATAAAAATGAGGGAATTTAATCTGAAATGCTGACCCAGATGATGGAGGAGCTAGGAAGGGCTGCATTTCCTGTACACACACCAGAGCTCAGCAGGATGGAAGCTCCTACTACCCCTGGGCGGAAGCACAAAGGAAGGATGTGGTGTTACCTGAGTCCAAGGGTGGGAGACACTGGTAGGTGTGGGACTCCGGGGGCCCTGTCAGCAGAGCTGTAGACATGGGGGAGAAGCAGCCACCAGACACAGGGGAAGAGGTGGGGGAGGCATACTCTGGTTTTACAGTTCCTTCAGCCCTCAGATCCCCGGGCGACCTTGCCTGACTTGGCGTCTAAGAGCAGCGGTCTGCAGCGGCAGCCCCACAGTGCTGAGCCATGCAGGGAGCATGGTGAAAGCCAGGAGACCGAGGGCTCTCTCAGGCCCAGACCTGACGACTGTGATAACAGAGAAAGTTTGAAAGAGTCCTACTTCCCCCTGCTGCTGGGCCTCTGAACAATAGCAGAGGTTTGCAGATGGCTGGGCTTGGGAAGGTAGAATTTGGAAAAAGCACTGGAAAAACCTAGAAAGTTGTCAGAATGTAGGAAGTCTTTCTGTGGCCTCTAGATCCTGTTTTCTGGAAAGGTCTGCTTGCTGAGCAGCCAGGGCCTTCACTGTCTGGGGATCTGTGATAGAGGAGACACTCCCAGCTTTCCTTTTGCCTATAGAGCTCAGCATAGACCCACCTCCTTGGGAAACTGCCTCGAAGCCCTACAGATGAGCTCAGCTGCCCCTGTGTCTCTTCCTATCACATTCTAATCCCTACATTGAAATGCCCCAGGTGGTGTTCCCTCCCCTCCTTCCAGACAGTGAGCACCCAGGACAGGGACCTGTCTTTGTGCATCCCCAAGCATTCTTAATTTCACCGTCTGCTCTGGGCTAGGAACCATGGTGGCTTCTGGGCTGCTAGACACATGGGTATGGCAATGCCAGCTTGCAGCAGGTTTTATAATAACAGGAGAGGCAGAGGATGTATGACTTTTTAAAATTACTGGCATCTTATGTGCTAGGGAAGTCCAAAGGTGCTTAAGGACCTCAAACAGGGAGACTCCATCTTTCCTGGAGGATTGGGGGAGCCTTCCCAGGAAGTCATATTTGCGTTAGGAATCAATAGGAGCTGGCTGGGCAGAGAAGCTGGGGAATGACACTTCAGGCAAAGAGGAGAACAAAGGCAAAGGTTTTGAAGTGGGAAGAGCGCTGAGTGCTGGGGATGGAGAGCAAGGGGGGCACTGCATGGAGCTGATGAGGTCAGGGGAGCTGTTCTCCCCTGCATCCCAGTCTGTGTCCTTTCCCGAGCACTTTTCACCTCCTGCCTGTGTCGTAGTTAGGAATGTTTGCATGACTCTGGCTCCCACATCACACCTACTTATATTTTTGTGGGTGGAAGGTGTCTGTTGAGTATTTGAATAAATGGCACACAGTTTTAGGCTCTTAACAGCCCCTCTAGATTTCTTATCACATTGGTAACTCTGCTTGCCCAGCAAGGATCAAGGAATGTGATCTGTATGGAGAAGAAGCCTGGGTTTATACCATTTATGGGAAACTCTCTGCCGTCTGGCATTCCTTTAACAGAAACTCACTGTCCATCACCCTGCCATTACCATGCTGGTTCTACAGTAAGTAGCAGTAAGAATGGTGACTTAGATATGCCAAAAAGATTTGGTCTTCAAACCATGCTGCCGTCTTCTTTGAGACTGAAATCTGATATAGTAAACCTGATTCCATTCAGCTCTGCTCCTTACTTGCAGGGTGATCTTGGACAGGTCATTAAACCTTTGCACATGCCTTTGTTTCTCCACTGACATGTGTAGCATGTATAATACCAACCTGACAAGATGAATATAAAATGAGACTGTACATGTAAATATGCAGCACAGTGCCTGGTATTGATTGAACACAAAATCACTGATAGCTGCTGCCTTTATTATTCTGATTTCATTTACTATTATTATTGCTATTACTAAAACATGTTTCCTAGTTTTCCCAAGGCCTACAAGTATTCTCTTTTGATTTCTATTTAAGACTGGTGTGTACATATGGAACACTTGCTTTCTCAATGTTGTTTGGCTATGAAAAAGAGTGTTTTATGCTTGTTTTCAGCTATCCTCTTTTATTTTTTTTAAAGAGGGTTTTGTTTTTGCTTTCTCACAGGAGTGATCGGAACAGATGTGAGGGGGCACGGCCTCGCCTGTGAGGGACAGCCAGTGACGTCACGGTTGGCTGTCATCTGTGGAACATCTTCTTGTCACATGGGGGTGAGTCTGCCAGGCCGGGGGCGGGGGCCGCTGTCCTCAGGGGAGGGCAGGCTGGAGGAGATCCGAGATGCCAGCCCTCTGGCCCCCTTACACCTTCTCTTCCTGCCACCCGCGCTTTGTCTAGCTGGAAGCCCAGCTCTCCCCCCAGCAGCCTTGCTTAGATTTGCCAGTTCTTTTTTTCTGGGGGCCAGATTCTTAAAAAGTGTGAAAAGGGTTGAGTCTGCCTTTAATACCACGCTGGCCAGAGAGCCAGGGAGGCGTGAGGGGTGAAATTGGATCCAGCAATGGCAAGGGCTCCCTCCCAGACCGATCTTTCCCTAATGGGTAGCTGAGTCTTCTCTGCACAGGGGTGTCTGTTTTCCTTGGCCACTGAGCTCCCTCTCAATCAATATAAATCTATCTCCCTGGGAGCAGCCTGATGATCTATAGAATTAAGCTGCATATCACGACTTCAAAAGAACACTGATAAGCAATTTTCACTTTGTTAATTTTTCTCCATGAATTAGTGGAAAGGCTTTCTCCAAGATTGCAGTTAAAATTTAGTGCCTGCACTAAAATTTATATCTTTTTTAAATGCATGAGTCTGAAAGCATTCCATTTCGATAAGTACCCATTTCTACCATATTTTTATTTAAAAGTCATTACTCTGCTAAACTTAGATGGACGACTCCTTGGATTTTTCCCAGATAAGTAAAATAGCCGGTGGGTGGGGGGGGAGGAAGAGGAAGGCAAATGGGGGAGGAGCAGGGAGAAGAGCAAGGTTAGGGTGGGCTACCTTCCAGGGCAGAAGCTCTGAACTATGAAGGGAGTTGTGGGCGATGAGAAACTGTTTAGTAACAATAGAGACCAATGAATCTTTTTCACTGTGAAATATTTTGGTGGAGTACATATTAACACATTTACTTATTTACTCGTCCTTTACTCTCATGTCTGGGACTTTGCTAAACCTTGGGGATAAAAAGATGACACATGGTCTCTCATTGATGAGATAGAACTCTACCAGGTATAAGGCAAGGCCCCAAAATATATAGATTCACATGAACCTGTGATACTGAGCATCTGTTACGTGCCAGGCATTGTGCAAGGTGTCCTCACACAAGGCTTCCCCTGTCACAGAGATGATAGAACCAGCCTGATTGGCTTGCAAGCCCAGTTCTTCCACTTCCTGAGTATGGGCCCTCGGGCAAGGCACTTTAACCCCTGTGGGCCCCCAATTCCTCACTTGCAAAATGTGGAGAGTTACAGGACGTGTCTCACAGTGTTGTGAGGGTGAAATGGGGTTATGTAATGTGATTGACATAAAGTAAGCACTTCACAAGGGTTAGTTCTTCATCACTAGCACACATGTTGTTGGGCAGAAAGGAGACAGTGATTGATTTTGCCTGGGCAGGGTCCAGGGTTAGGGACATCTTCTTCAGGGGACATTTGTGTTGTGCTGAACTTTGAGGACATAGATTTCCTTAACCTGTGCGTGTTAAGGAAACACACACACACACACACACACACACACACACACACACACAAATTTTCCTTTTATTTGTTTCTCTAGGCAGTCTTACATGGATATTCTTTAACCGAGTTTAAAAATCCCAGCCTCTTGTTTCCCCTCAGCAGCCCTATTGTACACCCTGGTTGTCGTTGCAGGGAGAGATCTACAGACGTCTAAGGCTGCCTCAAGCAGGGGTACCCACCACAGGCAGCCGGCCCTTCTTTTCCTTGACGTGAGTCTACGCTAGATAGCTTGTCTTCACCGAACACTGACTTCAACTTGTTTAAATCACCTGCCACTTTCACTGGGACACGTCTAATCTGGTCTCCCCAGTGAAGTCGAAATTTCAGGCATTTTTATCCTACTCAATTTAGATTTCTGAGCAGAATCCAATCCAAATGATAATGAGTGACTGTGGCATACCCGCGTCCCAGTCTCCTTGTCTCTTAGTTGGGATAACACTTTTTCTAAATTACTCATTTTGCAAATTAGGCAACTCAGGCATAGAAAAGCCCAGTAATTGCCCTGGCTGGTGTGGCACAGTTGGTTGGGCATCGTACTGCAAAGTGAAAGGTTACCAGTTCGATTTCTACCGGGCACATGCCTGGGTTGTGGGCCTGGTCCCCAGGCAGGGTGCATGCAGGAGGCAACTACTGATCGATGTTTCCCTCTCACATCGATGTTTCTTTCCCTCTCTTTCTCCCTCCTTTACTCTCTCTCTGAATAAATAAAATCTTTTTTAAAAATTAAAAAGAAGTCCAATAATTTCACCAAGGTCACAAAGCTATAAGCCGGAGGTAAGAACTTAGATCTAGCTCCAGCTGATCCCCAAGTGCATCCTCCTCGATGCCTGCCTGTGTTGTGCAAGATTCTAATGTGCCATAGATGAATGGAGACAACATGGGCTTCAGAGTCACCCAGATGTGTGTTTGAACATCTGCTCATGCGTATTTTGGAGCCTGTGAGCTGCGATGAGGCCCTTAACCTCTCTGAGCCTCAGATTTTTCATCCACTAGTTCGGGGGTGATGGTGCCAGTCTCACAGGGTTGCTGGGTGGCATGAATTATGTACATTCATACCTAGTACATCATAGACACTCAGAAATGATGGGATTCTTATTACACTTTCCTAGTGATATAAAAGGCTCACACCAAGCAACTGTTTGGGCTTTACCGAGTTTGATGGGCAGCTGCAGTTGGTTGCAATGAATGAGGGCCATAAAATGCCAGCTTATTATGGTCGTGTTATGCTGGAAATAAAGCCCCCACCCCCTCCCCGCTTTGTACTTAGGAGTGGGAAGGGACCTTCTGGGCCAAGGGGATTAATCATCAGCTTTAATGTTATGTGGTGAGGGCGAGACTGTGGTCATGCTGGCATCAGAAAGCGCCTTTGATCTCTCAGGTGCTGGGCGCCCAGCGAGCCAGCAACAATAACACCTTTGTGAGGTCTAGGAGAGGCACAGGTCTGAGGAAACACTCCCAGGGAAACTCAAGGACCCCCTTTGTTGTGGTTCTGGCAAATAAAACCACCAACTGTCAGGAAAAATTCACCAAACAGAACACAGGGAACAGAGGGGACTGTGGGCTTTTGAAAAAAATGGTTTTCATCCTGGCCTGAAGAATTCTCTTTCTTCCTTTTTGTTCATTGCTGATGTTTCTAATTCACTAGGTTGATTGAAACAAAGCCCACAGGAACATTTTGTGCTATACAGGTTGCTTCTTTCTAGATCACCCAGAATGAATGAATGAATGAATGAATAGATGAATATTCAAGTAAATGAATATTGGTAAATACTTAGAAGCTCTCTACCTCCAGGCCCCTGTTATTTCCAGGAATCTGGAGAATAAGCCTGAGGTTGAGGTTGAACATAACACTTACTAATCAGGCCTTTGATATTTTAGAAGATGTAAGTGTGGGCTGCACATTTATCTTTCTTGTAGATGATTTAATTAACAACAGGAAAAAAAAATACTCTTCTTTTTTTTTTTAAAACTCCATGAAAGCAGAGCGGCTTGTTCAGACTTAATTACTACCAAGTCACCAAAACCCAAGATAATGCACAGCTGGGGTTAGCCAGAGGTTGAAAAGTCACGGGGTCAGACAGCGCTGATCCTTGCCATTGCACCAGCACCCCTTTTCTTGAGCTGTCAAGTGGGGCTGTAACTTGGCAACTTGTCTTCCAGTGAGCATGTCAATGGGGAGCGAACCCTGGGAAGCGGTGGGGAAGTACTGAAGAGGTAAGGTTTGAACGGAACAATAGGTGGTGCGAGCCAGGAATTACATCTGCATCTTAAATTGCTCAGAGCTGACGTTTCCACAAAGTCTTAGGTGAATGTAGGGAGGGTGTTCTCTATCACTTAGGGAGCATGCAATTTCAAGGATATATAGGCTCATAGCTGGACTCTACCACTTACTGTGTGAGTTTAGGTAAGATACGTCTTTTTTTTTTTTTTTTTTTTTTTTTTTTTTTTTTGGTGCCTCAGTTTCTTCCTATTGTGGGCATTAGTATTTACCTAAAAAGTTGGGGATTTAAATGAGGTAATCTTTGTAAACAGCTTGACACTGTACCTAGCAAAATAGGTTCTAATATGGTGTTATTACTAAAAATGATTCATTAAGGCTAGTATGCTCCATGTGGTAATGGATTGGAATTAGGGACATCAGGATGAACTAATGTTTAGCTTTATTTAGATAAAGATGGATACATATGGAAACATTTATAGACATGTGTAGCTGTACAGGTTAGTAAACATATTTCCTGGCTCTGACAACTGAGAGGGCCTAGAAATAAAGATACCCCAGCAGCTAGTTGTTACAAGCACACTTGGGGCCCACAGCTTGGTTTCTAAAACTATTCTCGAATAAAAAGAACCAGGACTCCTTGGAAAAATGGTTGATTCTAGGACTGGAGCAAGAAATAGACAAGATGAACCTGGAGCATCTCGTAGGCCAGAAAATAAGGACGTGCTTAAAAAAAAATAGTGGCAGAATATCAGGAGCCCACTAAGGGAGCTCCCAGAGGCCAGAACTGGAATGTGTGGGTAGCAGTATAAAGAAGGATTGGATCATAACCCATAGTAAGATATAAGCAAATGAGTAAATAAATAAATAAATGAATAGAAGAGACAAATCTCTCTATGCAGAAGAATTCCAAGTAATTTATGTGGCTATTCCCCCCGAAGGAGGTGGAGCATAGTTTCCCACTCCTTCAATGTGAGGTGCACATAGTGACTTCCTTCCAAAGAGGACATTGTTGAGGGGGGGTAGTAATTTTACAGTGGAGAAATCTGATAAACATGACCTTAGCCAGGTGATGAAGGTCAATGTCAACTGTGGTAAGTCATGTTGAGAGTGTGTTCTGTTGGTACAATGTGAAGAGAATGGTACTTTTTTTTATTCTCTCCCCCTACCCCCAAAACCTATAACCGTAGTCTAGTCATAAGAAAAGCAGAAGACAAATCCCATTAGAGGGACATTCTACACAATGCCTGATCAGCACTCCGCCACACTG